AGTTTTAACAGATCTGGTGTTGGAACTAAAACTTTTATGTCCCAGTTAAAAGTCTTTAAATGGGTGTATGGGATTTATCTCGTACAACCCAGCAGTAGGATACCCAGTATATCTGTTGTCAGAAACTGTGACTTCTCTGTCCCAGTTAGCCCTTTGACAGCCACATACTCTTTAAACTTGTTTCTTTGCATGACATGAGATTTTACTGAGTTACATTCAACACGTAATTAAACCACTTTACTATCATTGTATTTTAGTGTAGTTAGCGTTATCATGTGTGTTACAATTACATTATCCAAGTTTTAATTCTGAGCAATCATAGATCTTAAGCTTTTGTACAGCTCTGTTTACCTGTCCTTAGTTCAAATTCCTTTGGATCAATTCAGAGATCACAAAAAAAAAATATTCTCACACTATGAAGGTAGCCACACCCACCTTTTAACTTAATATATTTATTTCAAGGAACATTTACATATTTGATGGACATGTTTATAACCAATAGAAAGAGATTATTTTAAACTACAGTTTTTCAATAGTTATTTTAGTATTGGCACACAGCATTCATTACCAAGTACTTTAAACAGTTGAAATATTGTCTGCTGGTCCTCCCCTAGCACATAGCATTGTTTCTCACCAAGATACATATTAGTTAGATAGACAGTTAAATTGTATTTAGGTTTTACTTTTATATTTTAGTTAATTATGTATTATTTATGTTTTAAAATTTATACTTGAAAAGTTTAATAATTTTGATATAACCCATACTTTGCCTCACTCTATGAGGCTTACATTACTAAATAAAGGCAAGCATTTTGCCAGAGGCTAAAGTATCTTTTTTTGATGATACTGTTATATCGCCCTTTTACATATATGAAAGTGAGTAATAAATGGTAAAATATAGGAAAGAAAATAAAGCATTAAAAATAAACTATAAGTGAAAAGGTGAATACGTAAAATTATGCTTATAACCCAAAAAAGATAATTTAAGATTATTTAATGAAGAGTTACAAAGTATGAATGTATTACCATTTCATAATTTTATACATTTTATTGCTCTGTATGTTGATGATAATAGCTAGAGTTAGAGAAAATGAAATACGAATAGTTATCTTAAAAACATTTTTGGTGTTCATTTAGGAGGTTTTAGAGATCATGGAAATGAAATTTGAAAAGTGTAAGATAAAGCAAAAATATTTTTATACTCAACATGAAAACCACCTTGCAGTTGAACAAATCAGAGTCTGAGTTTTCTGAAACTATCTACCCTTAGGAAAGTTTCTGTCAAATTTCAAGCATATCCACTAGTTTGATTTTTGAAATGTAATATTAAGAGAGTTACATTATGTCCTCGTGATATAAGGACTGGTAACCAAAGGGTTAAAAATGTTAGAAATATATTTGTCGTGGATAGAGATAGGAAATTAACTTATTCATCTACATACAAAAATCTGTTGGTTATTCCTTTCAAGTGGAAGTCATATACACCAGTAGTATTCTGTCAAGTTAAGATGTATTAGATTGTTATGTATCAAGTGGAACTTGTGTAGCCAGCAGCAGGTTATTAGTTGTTGTTTTCTCTGTTTATCCCTACTAATAGTTATTTTGTTCAGCTTGAAGCAAATATTATTTTTACTACTTTCTTTATATTACTAACCAATTTATTGGGTATTCTTATTTATTAAATCTTTTCAGAATTATTTGGAAATACTACAAAAACCAGGTTTGAGATTTCAAATCTTGAAGCCTGTCAGTTATACTCTGTTGATGTCCGAATCATTGGACCTTATGGCATTGGACCATCACATGGTATTCGGCATATTACTACTGAGTTTGATCACCTTGCTCCTCCAAAAGCTCTTGTCGTCACACTTTACAGTAAAGACAGTAATGTTGTTAGGGTGCAGTGGGAGGCATCTTGTCGAGAACTTGATCAAGAAATTGGATATAACGTGAGACCTCAAAATATATATTTATATCTCATAATACTTCTTTATTTTGTAAATGATCCAAAGATTTACTTATTCTGGTTTTAAAATTTGCCAAATTATTGAACCTTTGATTAAACTTGGATTTAGAAACTTTAGAGGATTTGAATATATTTTTACAGAAGTTGTTTACTTATAGATGGCATGCTTTAGCAATGAAATTCTTCTGTATATATATATATATAAATATTCAAGAGTAAGTAAGATGTCACATTTTTATAAATCTTTCAGATGAAAAGAATTTTTGTAACAGTTAAGCATGGTATGGTTTGTAGGTCTTACAAGATGCTACAGATTTTCATCCTTAGAAATGCAGTGTGATTTGGAAAATAGTTTCAGGTGTTAGGAAAGATGGCTTCAGTGGCCTCTCCTCATGCTCTTGTCATATAAGTGTCACTAAACTAAACAAAATTTAATGTAATTAAAACGTCTTGTAAGTAACTCCATTTTGCATTAAACAAAGTTAAGTATAAACAAAGCTTATTCTAGAGATTATCTCTAACAGGTAATGGTGAAAGAAAAGACACTCAACAAAGTAAAGTGGTTTAGAATTGCCAACCAAACAAACAACATCATATCTTTCAACCTGACCATTCATTGTGGAGGAATCTACGTTATTCAGGTTCAGACAAATCATGCCAATTCTCGTCCAACTGCTTTTGTCAGGTACGAGGCACCACCTATACCAGCACCTACTCGCTTTCTTTTAACCTTAGGGACAAACAGAGAGCTTCATGCTCGTTGGGAAGACCCAGTTTGGCCAGTTCAACTTTATGGTCATAGGTAAGTTAGATCTTTTTGCATGAAACACATTTGTTTTGTTTTTCCTTCTAAGTTCACTCTGCTGTACATAGTTAAAGTCTGCTGTTTTGTACAAAGGCCTCAGTATTTTGTTTTGTTGTTTTCTTCCTTGAAAACTATATTTGGTAAGTTTAGAATAACTGAAAACTTATCAGATTCTCCTATTAAATATTTCATAGATAGACAACATGAAAGAGTCCTGCTTGCTACTTCATCCTCTGACATATGTCATTAGCAGACTTGTTGAAGATTTTTATTACTGAATTTTGTATGATCATTTTGACTGTTACAGTCAGCTTTTTATAGTTACACCTGTTGTTCACATTACATTCAGGTACACACATCCTCTGTAGTTACTTCTATCTCCCATGTCACTATAAAGTTTACACTTATCTCCCACATTAGATACACTAAGCTTTCATAGCTGCACCCAACTCCATAGTTACATCTATCTCTCATGTTGCTGTCAGATACACCCAACTCCATAGTTATATATGTATTCAGACTCACCAGACTTGCATACTATACTAATTTACAACCACTTTCCATAGTTGTATACACCCAACTCCATAGTTATATCTGTATTCAGGCTCACCAGACTTGCATACTATACTAACTTACAACCACTTTCCATAGTTGTATACACCCAACTCCATAGTTATGTCTGGTGAGCCTGAATACAGATTTACATACTATACTAATTTACAACCACTTTCCATAGTTGTATACACCCAACTCCATAGTTATATCTGTATTCAGGCTCACCAGACTTACATACCATAGTAATTTACAACCACTTTCCATAGTTGTATACACCCAACTCCATAGTTATATCTGTATTCAGGCTCACCAGACTTACATACCATAGTAATTTACAACCACTTTCCATAGTTGTATACACCCAACTCCATAGTTATATCTGTATTCAGGCTCACCAGACTTACATACCATAGTAATTTACAACCACTTTCCATAGTTGTATACACCAACCTTCAAAACTCTCCCATGATAGTCATGTACAGCCACCTTCTGTAGTTGCTTCTGTCTCGCACGTTATAGCCTTATATGCTGCCATAGTTCCACCTTTTTTATATTATAGCCATGTATATTATGTAAATACACAACATTTTAATTATAGATGTAAGTACCAACAAATACATGATCAAACCATCAAAACAGTGTAAAATTATACCATTTATACTTTTGTATCATTTTAAAGTGAAAATTTCTGTGGCCATAGCACCCAAAAACATTGTGGATATTCTGTCTATCAAACCTGATCAATACAACAGATGCAAAACTAGAAAACAAGTTACAGATTCTATAAGGGGTTAGGAGCTGGGTGCTAAAACCCACTACCACTCACCGTCTGTAGCCAGTTGTAGGCGTGATAGTTACCCCTAAAGACATAAAATGGAAATATGATATCAACCACTCTCGATTTAGGTCATAAAAATATCACCAACCTCTACCCTTTTTTATAGTTCTAAATAACATACAATCTTATAATAATCTATACATATAAAAGAGGAAGTTTGTTTATTTTGTTCACTATAGAAAACC